TCTGATATAAAATTAAATGTACTTGTGCAGGGTCTCCGAAAGTGCTATGTTTCAAGAATATATGAAACCAAAATTAAGAGTAACAAATATTTCTATTTCTTGCTTTTGAAGCTCACATGTCATGCTGTGTTGTAGTTTACAGAATACGTAATTATTTTCGTGATTCATGGCACGTGCACGTTTTACTTATGTAAAACATGCAACGTTAAGCGTCCTTTATGTGACTTAATTTTAATGTCTACTGACTGACTGACAGACAACACACTACTGTACAGTGGCGCTAGTGGTTAAAACAGGTGACCTCTCCAGGCGGCGTTCGGCCTCCTTTCGGGGAAACTAGCCACCTACATAGATCAAAACTAAAAATATGCGGAGAAAGGAGCATTTAGAAATGGGCATTTTTCTTGAAATATTTTTATTTTTTGGTAAAAATAGCAAAAACTATTGGATATTTTAATGCTTGCTACATTTGCAGAGGAAAATGAACACCTGCTGCTGAGTGTGCGTGATCGGCATGTTTACAGATGGTTTATGTGGTACTCTTATCTGACTTCTTGATGTGTTTAATACTTCACAGAGTTAAACCAAGTACAGGCCTGCGTCATTGTCTGTTTCTCTTTTACAACCAACTTCACAGAGTTAAACCAAGTACAGGCCTGCGTCATTGTCTGTTTCTCTTTTACAACCAGCTTCACAGAGTTAAACCAAGTACAGGCCTGCGTCATTGTCTGTTTCTATTTTACAACCAACTTCACAGAGTTAAACCAAGTACAGGCCTGCGTCATTGTCTGTTTCTCTTTTACAACCGCTTGAATAAGCACTTACTCTTTCATACAAAATGAGTATTATCGGATGAGTTTATTGCCCATCAAACTCTTAAACTTCCACCCCAAACTCTCTTAGTCAAGCACTTTCAAAATAAGTTTGATCTGGTCTGCTTTTAAACACTTCAGTATGGTTCGATAAAGTGATCATGAAACACGTTCTATTTCTTAAAAGGAAAATCTGGGCATATTGTCAAGATCCCAGTCTATACTTTGAAAAACACCCCTAATCCTCTGTAAAAGGAAATATTCAATCAATATGATAACCAATCATGATGACTACTTAGCGGCTGAACATTTTTGTCATTCGAGAACCGGAAATCATCCGCTTAAACCTAATATTTCAGCTACAAAGACGCCTGCAAAGATCAGTATTCATGCAGTACATACTACTCAATGTGATTTTTTCTATCAATCGAAACAGAAAAATAAAGTTTTTATTAATTTCATGTTACTTTCATTTTGTTTTTAAGCTCCAGCATCGACTGGGTAGTCATTATGGATACAGACAAGTTTGATTTTTCTTGTTTTACAGAATCGTGAGATTATAAATGGGAGCACTAAACTAAGATAATATCTTAATGTCCAGTTCCCATAACAACAATGAACATAGTTTTTTTTTCCATAACTTATATTTTTTGATCTGTAGTGAAAGACGTAGCTTTTAAATGATTATGAGGTGTCACCAAAAAAAAATATTGTTTACTTTCTTTACAATACGTAGCATTGTTAAGAAGCTCAATAATCTGTGTGTGTGTATGTATATGTTTGAAGTTTCATGCTGGTAACGTTGGATACTGCAGTCAGTTTGGCTTCCACTTTGTAAACATGTGACGAGTTGGTTGTTGCCCGAGTTTTGTATTTTCGTGGAAACTTTATAAATCTGCCTTGAATGGTGAGTTTTTATAATATATTTAAGTATAGATATACATAATTGATTATACATAAACATTGTTTTCTTAGAGTTTGGTACACAATTAGTTGTTGTTGTTTTTTAAAATGTACCCTCCTAACATGTGCACCAATACCTCTGTAACTATAACCTTTAGAATAAAAGCACCCAAATTCTTAACACATTTCCAGTAACACAGATATTTTCAACTAGCTTATAGGCTGGAGTTGTAATTCTTATTTCATTAATTAGTGGGACGCAGGGTTTTTTTAAGTGTGCAGTTGATCACAAATTGTGCACCTGTAAAAATGTTTGTGCAGTTGAAAATTCACCTATATAAGTAAGGTCAAGTGGATAAATAATAAAAAAAGCATATCTAAGGTTATCAAATTCCATTCCAGAGTCGATGAATAAATGTATTTACTAGAATGCTACTCCAAGTGGCACATCAGTATGTCTGCGGACTTACAACGCTAGAAACCCCTGTTTGTGTTTAACTTCAAACAAACAAACAGTTGACTTGAATATTCTACATTTTTGGACCATTTTTACTGAACCTGTATATATGAGGTGCAACAAGGCGTCGTGTAAAAAATAATGAAATTAAAATATAATTGTGCAGTTGAAAATAATCCTTAGCAAAAACTCTGGTGGGACAGGATGTGAACTCATGTCATCAGTGTACCCTGAACCCAGAGAAATGTTGCGCATAAAACTTTAACGTGTGGTTTAAGGTCTGTTATGAACATTTAAGATTTCAGTGCATACAATCATAATGAATTTTATTTCTCTGAATTCCTTTTTTAAATCCTTTAGATATTTAATTAAAATCACACTTTTAGGGTAAATCGTTTGATTATCTTAGGACATTTATTGGCTTTTAGATAAATATTATCAATTTTTTAGTTAAGTAATGTTTCTGCCTAATAAAGTTTACGAGGATATTTTCTTTACGCTGTTTATCTGTCTGTGTTTCGTTGTTAAAGCGTTTTCGATATATTCGTGACGAAATTCAACGTGATTAAAGTAAACTGATCTACATTGTAATGGTAGTTTGGAATGTTTAGAAAATATTTACCATACATGAGTGGTTAAACTGAATAGAAAATAATGCATATCGATTCACTTTAGAACTAGAAAATTAAATGAGCAGTTCCAACATTTCATCTTAAAATTATAATTAAAAAACTGAAATTGTATTTAACATTGGCTAGGATGTTAAGTACGTCATCAAAAGCTACTTTTAGGTGAGATATAAGCATAAAAAACAATAATGTATTGTACTTATGGCAATATTAAGCAATCGTTGATACATCTGTGAATTGTATGAAGTAAACTTAAATGTATGAAATAAGACCACGTCTACGAAAAGTAAGGTATCAGTAAAACAGAAACACCTTTTTACTATTTGAAAATAGCAACAACAAATACAATAGGAGTCTTCTTCAGTTGACTTTTATATTTGCCTGATTGATTTCTGTTTTGTTGCATCCATTGGTTGTTTTTTTAAGAAGTTACGGCCATTTTCTCTGATTATAAAAAAAATCCCCAGCAGAGGCTATATTCTTCCAAGAAAGTTTCTAGAGAAGTAAACACAAAAACGCAAAAGAGAGACATATGTTGTGTTACTCTGAATGGAAATACGGGATATTACTTTTTCATTGTTTTCTTTACAGTCTGGAATAAAATCTAAGCAAGAATAGACCTCGATAACGACGCCACTTCAGGGATAAGCGTTGTTAGATAACAGCGTTATAAAACATACAGGAAAAAATTAATTGCAAGCATTAACGTTGCACTAGTTTCTTATAAGAACCGTAACAACGTTTTGGTAGATCACTAAATAAATGCATCATAGATTTTAATGAAAGGAGTTGTGATCTTATTCCTTTTATCAGTTTCATCTCTAGGTTTCTAGAACATAGAGGAAAAACGTCATGAATGTATCTATTATATATACTTGATGATTTTGTCAAAATAACATAGCATTTGTTTTTCATCATTGCTCGTATATTTCAACGTAATACTTTTCCGTTTGTTATGTCAAACGTCAGTAGTATTGTTCCTCAATTTCATAGTGAATAATCTTTACAATATCAAACATAGTTTCGATTTGAGTTTACTTACTGATTAAGTATTATTTTATTAGAAGTTACAACTTTTACAGTAAGGAAGATTCTTACTTTAAAAGCTGTAACTTGTAATCAATTAATGTAAGATACAGTTTGTTTGTTTTTTGCTTAGAAAACGCGGTGCTATGTAGCTAAAGTATATCAATTATACATGCCATAAGACATCGGCGTTAGGCCTATAAGTTTAAATTTAGTGTCATTTTGTAATATTCTCAAAGTTCATTAATATTCCACGAGAGGGTGGGTATATTTACTTTTCAAAACTTGTTTTTTTTTCTCTTGCGTGTTTTATAGAATAAAGTAAACGTGTTTTTATTTTCATCTATGTGTAGAGCATCATAGTGTATCCCTGTCATTTATAATTTTAAAACCATACGATCACGATCGTATAATCTTTTAAAGGTTTATATATTGTTAACGAAGATCATATGTACGTAGTTAGCTGTATATTGTTAACAAAGACTATATCTACGTAGTTAACTATATATATTGTTATCACGTAGTTTGTATATTCTTAACAAAGACTATATCTACGTAGTTAACTATATATATTGTTATCACGTAGTTTGTATATTCTTAACAAAGACTATATCTACGTAGTTAACTATATATATTGTTATCACATAGTTTGGATATCCTTAACAAAGACTGTATTAACGTAGTTAGCTAAGTATTGTTATCATATAGTTTGTATGTTCTTAACAAAGACTGTATTAACGTAGTTAGCTAAGTATTGTTATCACGTATAGTGGACATAGTGTGGTTGAAATACTTTAATACACGCTTCTAATTCTTGAAAAAAAACAACAAGGGGCTTAATAAAGAATATAGTGTTAAAATATTATAGGCCTAATACCGGTGTTTTATGACATATATAATTATCTAATATAGATTGTAATTCACTACTTCTCATAGAACACTGACTCAAGCTAGTTGTTATGGTGAAAAGCTGGTAAAGCATTATTATAATACGTTATCACTTTTTGATATTACAATGACAACTACAATACAATACAATATTACAATACGCGCCACTGTTGGAGCTTTGTTTTTTCGCAGCATATTTTAACTAGTAGTTGAACCTGACAGCTTCAGTAGTGTTTCGATGTGCATATCTTATACATCCAGTTCTTATTCATCCATATCGTATACATCCAGATCACGGTAATCCATAGCGTATACATCCAGATCACGGTAATCCATAGCGTATACATCCAGATCACGGTAATCCATATCGTATACATCCAGATCACAGTAATCCATATCGTATACATCCAGTTCTTATTCATCCATATCTTATACATCCAGTTCTTATTCATCCATATCGTATACATCCAGATCATGGTAATTCATATCGTATACATCCAGTTCTTATTCATCCAGATCGCATACATTCAGGTCTTATGCATTCATATCGTATACATCCATATCGTATGCCTTCCGTATCGTATACAATCAATCCTTATACATCCATGTCTTATACATCTATATTGTATACATCAATACCTTATACATCCATATGTTATACTTTCATATCGTATACATCCATATCTTATATAGCCATATCATATATATTCAGGTCCTATTCATTCATATCGTAAACATCCATATCGTATACATCCAGATCACGGTAATCCATATCGTATACATCCAGATCCTATATAGCCATATCATATATATTCAGGTCCTATTCATTCATATCGTAAACATCCAGATCACGGTAATCCATATCGTATACATCCAGATCACGGTAATCCATATCGTATACATCCAGATCCTATACATCCAAACCGTATATCTTCTTTCTGTCGTTTTTTGACAATAGTTGACAGAATGAATTTATTTGGCTTTGAAAAAACTGAGGAAAACCTTCAAAGCACATTTGTTGGACTATAAAAAGTGTATTGATAAGTTCAGTTCATCCAGCTGGATTTGAACTTGTCCTTGTACTTTATTTTAGTTGGTTTATTAATTACTGTAAATAACTTCTGTGGCCCGTATAATATGAATAGATAAATGAGATATATCCATTGATCTTAGCAAGTTCATGTTTCTAATTCGCCATGTCTGATGACTCTACAGCCACTCAAGCTGATGAGGATAGTGTATAAGGAAAAACATGAATTACAACAAAAACATGAATTACAGCAGATGTGACTCGCACAATTATAAATGCATTTGAAAAACATAAACAGGTATCTCTTGGATCCCATTTATTGTTTGAATTTCTTTACTAAACGGATGTTTATTGTGTTTTTAAACTACCTCTATAAAAAAAGAGAAATACTCACCTAATGTTTTAATTTTTTTATGTCCATTTAGATTAACGACGAAACTCAGAAAAAATATTTACTTCTTCCAGATAAGAACGGCTCATTAAAATTTATGTCACAATGACTTATATCGAATAACTTTTGACGAAAAGAATTATCGTCTTTTTCAATGGAGAATTAAAGAAAACCTTTCTCCAAAAGCCGATTTGGTGTAGCATGTGTCTGATAGTAACGCCATTAGACTGAATGTAACAGATAATATCAATAAAACAGATTCCAAGTTATATAAAATAGATTTTTTAAAATACAGATAAAAAATCACATAAAATGTTGGATCAAAACTGAACAATGACAACAACAAACAGAGCAAATGTTGAGACACCCTAGAAAGCATTATTTTTTAGAAACACACACAGGCCTTCGAGAATTAGACATAACCTTGACTACAAACAGAATTATAAAACGTGGTGTTGGATGATCAAAGTTATAAAAACAGAATTCATCACTTAAGGTTCTTACAACCAGTTGAGCTCAAATGAATTTCACCTGCTTGCCCCAAGGTGAATTTATCTTGACCGCGAGAGACTTCTGGTGGATAAAAGTACTTATCTGATGAAAAAAAAGAAAATATTTTTGAATAATAAATAGTATCTTATTTAATTTTCAAAAAGCATATTATTTCACATATGTAGCCCCCAGTAGCTCAGGGGACTGAGTCTAAGGGCTTACAATGCTCAAAATTGGACTTCGATACCTGCTGTGGGCATAGCACAGATAGCCCATTGGGTAGTTTTGCGCTTAACAACAAACAAGCAATTCTGACATAGATATGTATATGTATAGTGTCACAGATATTAAAATAATTGAAGCGACGATACAACCCAAAATATTAGACCTCAGAAGCTCGTTGCAAGATCGTTATAACCAACAACGGTTACAAAAACAATGATATCGACAACGAAAAAGCAATAATGTTTACAAATGCGCAAGATGGAGCATATCAGCGTAGTTTTCTACTCGCTCTCATAAATCAAAGAAAGAGAGGAAAGTTTAAATTGAGTAATGTCTATTAGGATTCACGAGGTCCATTTATATTTATATGTGAGATTGGATATATTTCCTTTCAAAGCTTGTCTTTCTCTCTTGTGTCTTTTACAGAAGAAAGTAAACCTTTTTTCATCTATGTGTAGAGTACCATAGCGTATCTCTGCCGTTTAGGGTTTTACAATCATACGATTGTATAATCTTTTAAAGGTTTATATATTGTTAACAAAGACTATATGTACGTAGTTCACTATATATATTGTTATCACGTAGTTTGTACATTGTTAACAAAAATTATATGTACGTCGTTAGCTATATATTGTTATCAAGTAGTTTGTACATTCTTAACAAAGGCTATATTATACGTACGTAGTTAGCTATATTACTGTTACGTAACGATTCTGTTTTCTGTAAGTCCTCTTGCTTACCGCTGAACTACAGGCAGGGGGGAAGGGGCTAAAGTTTTTCTACGTTCAAGGCCTGTGTTGTCTAGAGATCCCAGTATCATCTGATAAAAAAATGAAAAGTTTCCTTTTTTTTGTTGCGTCTACCTTAAATCTTGCATGTTAAATCTATAGTGCCAAACAGACAGAGAAAACCACAGACTCGTGGATAAATAAACACATCAGTAGATTAAAATAGAAGGTGACGTAGCCGAGAAAAAAGGTACAATCCAGCACGAGACGTATTTCTGGAATGTAAACGCAAGCAGAGCTTCCTTGTTGTTGTTTTTTTGTCAAATTTTAAGATATTATGAAAAATATATATATATACATACATACGGTTTTTATTATTTTTAAAATTGACAAGTCTCCGTGAAAATGTGTTTCGGATATATTAGATTAAATGAAAATCAAAACTAAAAGGATTGAACATCGAATTCTTCCAGGGTTACCATTAAATTTAAAATTATTTAGTCGAAAAAAATACATTTTTGGTAAAAGATTGTAGTCTAGCTTCTGTTATAAAGATTCTAGTAAGACTAATGTCTAGCTTCTGCTATAAAGATTCTAGTAAGGCTAATTTCGAGCTTCTGTTATAAAGATTCTAGTAAGACTAATGTCTAGCTTCTGTTATAAAGATTCTAGTAAGACTAATGTCTAGCTTCTGTTATAAAGATTCTAGTAAGACTAATATCGAGCTTCTGTTATAAAGATTCTAGTAAGACTAATGTCGAGCTTCTGTTATAAAGATTCTAGTAAGCCTAATGTCCGAGCTTCTGCTATAAAGATTCTAGTAAGACTAATGTCGAGCTTCTGTTATAAAGATTCTAGTAAGCCTAATGTCTAGCTTCTGTTATAAAGATTCTAGTAAGCCTAATAATTATTGAGCGCTAGAGCCAGAACCTAAAAATAAACGATATGGAATTTTCATGTACGCGTTGACGTTTTCGAATCAAAGCCTAAAATAAAAGTAATTAATTGTTCTGGAATATCGTACGATATCAAGCATAAAAATGTGTAATTTAATGTATTATGTTTGAAGATTAAAATAAAAAAGTTTATATCTTGCACCTGTAAATACAAAACTGTTTTATGAAAGATCATAAAAGTATACTTCTTAAACTTTCATGAAAAAGGCCCCCTATACCCATAAATGACAGTAACGTAGATCTAGGTTTTATATAAAACTCAAACACCAAAACAATAGTTGTTTTACCTTCGTGTAAACTAGTTTTATTTGTTGCTGTTGTTTTTTAAGATGACAGAAAAGTTTCTATAAAAGACTGTCTTCGTTCTTATTTTATAAACTCTTAAGTTATTAAAATAAAGAATAATGCTGGCATTCTTCCACTGAGAAGAAATTATTCTTTCTCTCTCAACCGGTAGTTATTTTTACACATCTGCAACTCCTATTTTGTAGCTATTTCGTAGAACAATACATTTCCAACTCTACTGGTTACTCCATGGAGTAATACACCTCCAGTTCTGTTTGTTACTACGTGGAGATATAGACTTCTAACTCTGTTGGTAAATATACTGTTACCAATAGAGTTTGCATTATATCATTCCAGCAACCAACAGATTTTGGAGATCTATAGTTACGTAATAACCAACAGAGTTGGTTGTGCATTGTTTCACGGAATAGTAAATAGCATTTGAGACGTATTGTCCCATCTATAATTGACCTATGTATTCTTTTGAATGTATTGTGACGGATTCATTATTATGTATTTATTTTAATCTCAATGTTTGTTTAAATTAAATTTATATTTAGAAATGTACATAATTTATACTGTTAAATATGTATTGCG